TGCGGGGGCGTGGCCGGGGCGTGGGGGCGGGCCAAGAGCGTGGGGCGGGGCCAAGAGCGTGGGGCGGGGCCAAGAGCGCGAGACGGAGCCAGAGGGCGGGGATAGGGCGGAGAGCGTGGGGGGGCGGAGCCACAGCGGGGGCGTGGCCTCGAACCCGGAGGCGGAGCCGAGAGCGCAAAGCAAAGCCGCGGCGCAAGGACCGGGCCTTGGGCGAGGGGACGGAGGCCTGGAGCATGAGGCGGGGCCTTGGACGAGGGGTGGGGCCTTGGCTAGGGGCAGGTCCTGGAGAAGGAGCCCCGGGCAGGTGTGATGTGGGGAACGTGGGTGCACGCCAGGTCACCCACACTTTTCTGCCGCCAACCCAACTGAAGGCGGCCCCGGGGTCGACCGGCCTAAGGTTCCCCAGGTTGGCGCCCACAGGCCCGGCCCACGCCCATGCCCAACCGGCCTTCGTACCGCCCTGCGCGCCGCGCCGCCTCTTGCCCCTGTGCGCGGGGTGGCCAGTGGGGCTGGCAGCCGAGGGCCCTGCTAGCCCTGAAGATCACCCCACTCCACCTGCCCGCTCGCTGGGGAAGTAGGGGTCTCAGGTTAACCAGCAGGACCGGTGCCTGGGGGCTGAGCTTCCTAGTGACGTCCAGCCCTTGCCCAGGCCTCAGCCCACTGTCAGCACCTTCCCAAGAGAAGGACGTGGGCACCAGGAATCTCTGCTCCCCAGGAACCATAGCTGTGCTCCACCCCTTCTCAGAGCCAGTATCAGGCCTGGCACCTCTCTGGAAGCTCCCAGCAACCCTCAGGAGAAGCTGTACCCCCATTTTACAGCCTGGGCCATCTAGGGACCTCACCCTCTGGATCAGGGCTCCCCAACACCCCACCTTCCTCAACGGCTGTCATCTGGGCTGCCCCTATTCTAAGGCTCCCCAGGGCTCCCTAGTGCCACAGCCCTTCAGGGCTCACCCAATGGCACTCCCCCACACCACCCTCCCCTCAATGTGTCTGGTTATTTGCCCACCCCCATGCTTCCATGCTGCTCACCCAGGTCCCCCAGTCCACCTCTTCAGCCACTTTGTCTGCTGGACACTGCTCAGCCTTGGCTGCCCACCCCCCTTATCCTTCACGGCTCCCGGCAGGGTCAGAAGTCCCAGCGTGGGGCCCCCTCTGACCTCCTGCCCAGGTGCCCCTCTGTGGTGCTTGCCCGGGGTGACTGGTATCGAAGGAGGGTCACTAGGGAAGCGTCCCCAGCCCATTAAGGGCCCAGGCCACCTCCTGGGGCAGTAGC